TGGAGAGTTAATTTGGCATCAAGCAGACAACTGTTTCCACACGTGTATTATTTGTAAACTGCTGAATCATTCAACTTCTACAACATATCTGGATGTCTCAGATGTAATGTGCAGGTGTTTTGCTGCACCATTTATAGATTGTGACTAACAGGCTGGTAAGCCACAGGATAAACAGGGTTTAGGAAGACTCTATAGGAGGCCCTGATAATGGTTGCAGATGTGGCAGTCATTAAGTATTGTGGAGATAATAGCTGTTTACCAGACAGGGAGCACCATCTTTAAGTAGTGTCATAAAGACTAGTGGTTTCCACTCTGTTAATGTCTTTATAAAGAAACAATAACACCATAAAAACATAATTTTGTGGTTTGTTTCACCACTGTTTCTGGACATATGTACCAGCAGTTCTTTCACAACACAGGACACCACAGCAAACAATTATTACCGACATCTCTGGTACATTTATTACAGTTGAGCGATGCTCATATTCAGAGTGACTCAACACAATAGAGCTCAACGATCATTATTAAAACAAAAGCATCACATTAACCAAGTACACTACCATAGTGTCAAGAGGTTCAACGTGGTGTTTAGCTCTTTCTCCGATACAGATTTTAATTTAACCTCTAAACTTTCAATATGCTAAATGTATTTTCTCAATTTCTCCTTTATCATTTTTAATCAAAGATTAAATAGGATATGTGAAGCAATATCATCTTAAAAATTAATGAAAATTCTACATCTTGTGAGTAATTCTCATATTTTGTCTTTAATTCATTATTATGTATTCTCAGCAGAGTATTCAGATATTTTACTGAAGTACAATTGCCAAGAATAAACTGTAATTTAGTTCCTCTACCCTAAATTTCCATAAATATTATACTTTCCATTCCACAATATTGATCTGACAGCTACTAGTTTGCATATTTTGCACGTTATTTTTCATTCAAATCATACGATGCACCTCTAAAGCTGATGACTTGCTCATTAAAAATATCTCCCTGTTATCAAATAATTTTATTCTGGAATTGATTCTTTGTCAGTGTAATATGACTATTTCAGCCTGTTCTCTATGCAAATCAACTTGCTTCTAATTTCAACTTTTTATAGTTTAATTTAAGTTAAAAACCAGTTGAAATAGTCTCACTGCACTGCAGAATAAGGTTTTTAAAACTCAAATAAACAAATAAATATAATGTAGTTAAAATCAGCTAAACCTAAACTAACTGCTTACACACTAATACATCAATAATAATAATCATATAATACAATTTTGTTGCTGTAGTTATATTTTTCAGATTATACTTACATTAGTCGGATTTTGAACTCAAGGCTTTTACTTATAGTAGGCTATTTGTATTGTTGTATTACTACTTTTACTTAAGTAAAGAGTCTAAATACTTCCATCTCTACACTCATTGGCCACTTTATTAGATACACATTGCTAGTGCCGGGTTGGATCCCTTTTGCCTTCAGAACTGCTTTAATTCTTCGTGGCATACTTTCAACAAGGTGTTGGAAACATTCCTCAGAGACTTTGGTCATGATAGCATCACGCAGTTGCTGCAGATTTATTTATTTTTTTGCTGGACATCTATGATGCAAATCTCCCGTTCCACCACATCCCAAAAGTGCTCTATTGGATTGAGATCTGGTGACTGTGGAGGCCATTGGAGTACAGTGCTCTCATTGTCATGTTCAAGAAAACAGTTTGAGATTATTTGAGCTTTGTGCATGATGCATTATCCTGCTGGAAGTAGGCATCAGAAGAAGGGATGGACATGGTCAGCGACAATACTCAGGTTTACTCGCGTTTAAATAATGCCCAGTTGGTACCAAAGGGTCCAAATTGTGCCAAGAAAATATCCCCCACACCATTACACCATCACCATCAGCCTGAACTGTTGATACACGGCAGGATGGATCCATGTTTTTATGTTGTTTACACCAAATTCTGACCCTACCATCTGAATGTTGCAGCTGAAATCGAGGCTCATCAGACCAGGCAATGTTTTTCCAATCTTCTATTGTCCAACTTTGGTGAGCCTGTGTGAATTGTAGCCTCAGTTTTCTGTTCTTAGCTGACAGGAGTGTCACCTGGTCTATTTAAATTTAAAATGACTAAATAATGTTCCTGCAAAACTAATGACATTCCCATCAACCTCAGCTGTACTTTGTGTTTAGTGTTAATTTTGGCATGCTTGCTAAGATAAGGTGACCAGATTTCTGAAAAGAAAACCGGGGACACTTTTGGTTTGGTGGTCAGTATGTCATTAAAAAATATAATACAGGATATTCCGTTTTCCAGATATAAACAAGGATATTAAACATAGGCTTACCAAACATATCGGCAAAAATAGGCTTCTGTTATTGCCTATAATCACGTAAATGTCATGAGTGGTTACGCTATAAACTGGCCACAATTGTGATTATTTTGTTAAAAGAAACAGTAAAGTATCACAAAGACATACCTTTGCTATTACCACGGACATAAAGTGATGTTTATTTGCACGTTATGTCTGTTTGATTCAGACAGAAGCAGCTAAAGACATGAAGAGACTGGGCGGTAACGCTACATGCTGCACGTGCTCCCGCAGACGGCAAGCAGTTTTTGCCATGACACCTGTATGCTCTGTTGTCCAGTCTTTCTGGCCACGTAAAATCTGATTTCAGGTCTGTTAACACCTTATACAGTCTATGATTAACACACTGTTAAAAATTGGGACATTTGCGGGTGACAATCGCCGGAAAACTGGTCACCCGCACGTCTGGTAAACCTATGCCAAGACATTAAACTAACATGGTGAACATGGTAAACATTACATCTACTTAACATCAGCATGTTAGCATTGTCATTGTGAGCATGTTAGCATATAGGCCTACAGTCCCAAGCATAGGTTAGCATATACTGTGAAAAAAGTCAAGAAAATTTATATGGACTGTTTTTCTTTATCTGCACGCATGAGAATCTTGTTTGTTACTTTGCGCAGTGTTGTTTTAGTGCTTTTTTGAGAGAAGTCTGATTGAAATTTATCAAAGACATTATGTTCCTCAACCAGTTGGAGAAACTGATAGGCGACAACTTTTTCCAGAATTTTAGAAATGAAAGGAAGTTTGGAAATGGGTCAGTAGTTAACTAAAAGGGTGGTATCTAGGGAGGGTTTTTTGAGTAAAGTGAAGACACTGGCTGTCTTAAAATAGTTTGGGATGCAGCCAGAAGAGAGTGATTGATCGAAAATAGAAAGAAGACAGGGAACAATGACAGGCAGGACCTCTGTCAGATATTTAGTAGGAATTATATCAGTAGGGCAGGATGATGGATGCATATGAGAAAAATATTAGAGATCTTGAAAGGAAATAGGGCTGAACTCCAGAACAGGGCAGGTGACTTGATCAGAGTGATAAATTCCATGGATGAAATGTGAACTGAAACCACTGACAGCAAAACCAGAATGGGCACAATTCAGAAGTTGGTTAATAGTGTTGAACAAAAACCTAGGTGTTATACTTGTTATTGTTGATCAGGCCAGAGAAATACGCTGCTCTTTCAAATTTATGAGTTGGTTGAGCATGGTTTGTAGCTCCTTCATGTGATGGTAGTCTACTAGGCGGTTTGTTTTTTTCCATCTATGCTCAGCATTTTTATAATCTCTTCTGTCACGTCGAGTGGAAACATTTATCCAGGGGGATGGATTGACCATTGGGGCTAGTCAGGTTTTATTTGGAGTAACAGTATCAAGAACTCATGAGCAACATTCATTAAACCGGTTAACAAAGTCATTAATATCAGAAATCTTAAGAATAATCATGGACATATCACTGAAGATAAGTTCAGTGAGCTATTTTCCTTAAGTCATTTTGTTTGTTTGTTTGTTTGTTTGTATGTTTGAGTTATCAGTGTACTGCAGACCACTGTAAATAAAATTATCACCTCTGGGAACACAAGATGTCTGAATCTGCCTACCTACCACCTTCCTCAACAATCTGGCTTGGCTACACCACAGCCATCATTAATGTTCTTCTCCTGCTGTGAGAAAGACCTATCATGACATAATTTTAATTCAGCTGGTGCACAGCAGCAGTAACAAAGCTATTTGCACTTGACACAACATAACATTACACAAAAATAAAAGCTATGTTCAAGTAAATTAACAATTCACCAGAGCCTTCTTCATTGTAACTAATCTGTTGAACTGGATGGGGAAAAGGCAGGCCAGAGCAGCCTTTTTTCAGCCTCCTGCTGCTGGCCGCCATTATCCTCAGTGTGAAATGTGAGTCTGCACACAATCTGCAGCCATGGATCTGAATTTATGTCAAAAAAACAAACAAAATGTCACACGAAAGCAGTTCATGGAATACAGGGAAAATGCAATGTAAAAAACCTTGTACAAGCCAAAGAAAACGTCAACATACTTGTGTGTTTTGTCAAACACAATTAGCCACGAATTATAGACAAAAAATTAAATAAAACCAAAACCATGAAGAAAAAGTTTTTTTACTGTAAGCCTTCAGGCTGAGCTGGGATGAAAGCCAGAGGAACTGCAGGACTCGAGGAGAATCTCTGGTTTTTGTTACCAGCCAATGTGTTCGGGTGGATCTGATTCATTCACTAACCATGAAGTATAATCATGCAGTTAATAAAACAGTATTAACTTGCACAATACATTTTTTTTGTAAATGTCAACGGTGTTCTTTCTTCTAGCATTTTCTTTTTCATTTGTTGTTTCCAAAAAACAAAAAAATAAACCGTTGGAAAGTTTCAGTCCAGACAGGTGTACCGGACCTTAAAGAGGTGGTATTATGCTTTTTGGATTTTTCCCTCTTTGTTATAGAATTTATATCTTTTTTGTGCATCTAATAGGTTTGCAAAGTGAAAAAGCCCAAAGCCCACCCCAAAGGGAGTTCCCATCTCCCACAGAAAACACTGCTATGGACTGCCTGAGAACAGCTTGTTTGTAGTCCAGCCATTTCTATCTAGCCATAATCTTGCTCTGTGTGATGTGTGTGCAAAGACAGTGAAATACTTTGGCAACACCCCAAACTTTGCTAAACATCTGAGATTAGGTCTGTCACAATAATAGGATGATGTTATGAAGCGGCAGTTCTGAGCAGGATATTTTTATTATATGTAAATGAAGTAAGTTATGTTATTTCACTCAACAACATAACGTTAGTTAACTTAAATTTTTAATTAGCCAACCTCGACTTGATGCACACTGGTCTCAGAACTCAGTTTTCTGTGTGAAAGTTTACTACATTAACTGACTTCCACCTTTGCTATCATCAAATGACCACTTGAGGTTGTGGCCTAACAAAAAACATAAATATGGGTCGTAATAAGCAGCTATACGGCTATTTTTCTGGTGAGGACGAGCTGCAATATTCTTGTCTTTTGTTTGCAGTTATTGGGCAGAAGTTACATCAGAAGGGGATTATGGGATCCTTAGCAGTGGACACCCACCTGAGAAGAACTGGATAAAGGTGTAGGCTTCACACTTCATTTCTCAGCTGCAGATGCAACAGCGTTATTTTTTAACAGAATAACCAGAAAATTCAACCTCAATACCATTTCAAATAATTTCTCTTTCCACTTCACACTTCAATCAATACTACCCAGCAAAGAAAGATGAAGCTTCTAAGATGATAGTTTTATATGCTGTTTAGTCAGATTTATGTTAGGGTTAGGGTGTTGCCTAATGTATATTCTAATCAGTTATGCCTGTGAGCACTTTCAGGGTACTTCTAATAGGCCTATACTGTATGATTTCTTATACTGCTGTCTGACTTCTTCACAACTGAAGACCTACATATTTTTTAAAATGCTACAAAAGAAACCCACACTTTTCTATAGCATAATACTGCAGGAGTAATTGTACTGTTGACTATATAGACAGATTGAGCCAAAAGAGTCCTAATTTTGCAAGTTTGTTCATTGACACTCATCAACACTTTATATCTGCTTCATATTTTCAGGACTCTAAAAGGACATAAGGCCTCAGAGAATGCATTTCAGGCTCAGGCCGAATCTTTTCCTAGACGTTAATGTGATCTTCCTCCAGATCCAGATCCCCCATCTCCAAACCCAAAGTGCTGTGATGAATAATCTGACAGCGTCTCAGAGACCTCCTGTTTGTTGGTCTGAGCTTGGGGGTTCCAGGGAACAACTCCTTCATTGTGACACTCATATCCTCCTTTTCATCATCTTTGGAGGAAACTTTGATGTCATTCTGCATCGTTTTGAACATCAGATCATTTATGTCCTCAACCCTGCAAAGATGGTAGAGTGAAAAGTTGTCACAGCTGCTTCAGAGAAAATACTCCCACTATGTAAGCTTTCATGATATTTCTGCACTGAATCTACGGCATAGGCACACTGTAGCCTACACATAGCCTACGCATAGCTGCACATCCTATGCAATAGCCTGACGTGCACCGCCCCAAAAATGTACCTACACGGTGACACATACCACAAGAACTGTGATTGGTTGGCTCGGTAGCATTGCATTTTCTCCAAGTCCCCAGGAAGTGCCCTGTGCTTCAAAGCCAGATTTACTAGTGAAAAGTCTAAAAGAGCCACAATTATCATTTTACCCCCATTCATGTTAGCGGAGGGCTAACTGGAAGTTACAGAAGTAATTGGCCTTAAAGTGGCATTCCAGCAATTTAGTACTGCACTTCTAAAGTTGGAGAATTTAGAGCAGAATAAACAAATGAACAAATAAGTAATGATTAAAATGGAAGCAGCAGAAGCCAAGATGTCCTGACTTTGAGTGTCAAACTCAAGCTACATTTCCCATTATGCAGCTTGGTAGCATCCTTTGATGGACCTTCCACGCCATCCAAATACCAGCCCGTTTGTCCCCCCTCAGCGTCTCCTAGATACGCACAAGGTACCTTTAGCGTCCATATGAGACGCACTGGGCTTCATCTAACTCCAATCTAACCCATCCGCATCAGGCGACGTAGTCTACAAAACGACTAAGTCTGTGCAAGAAGGAAGCTGGGGTGGATCGATGGGTCAAACAAACCAGTAGCTAGGGATTGTGTCCTGTGTGAAAGGGGTTGACTTTTAAAAGTTTTAATTAACTTAACATACTCAAACTATGATCTTTTCTTAAACTTAACCAAATTATTTTGGTACCTAAACTTAAACTCTCATTTCACAACTTTAACCACGTGTTAAAATGGCACCTCATACTGATGCTAAAGGGTACCTTCTGAGACGAAGAGGGGTGTGACAAAAGCATCATCAGTAACATCAGTATTTGACTACCTGGGATGAGAATGTGTAACAGCACACTCACATCTTTCAAAACTCTGACTTTCTATTAGAAATGTTTAATAAGATCGAAAAGCCTAAGACAAGATAACCTCTGATGACAGTATCAGATTAATTTTCTAAGATTTCTAAGACAATTTAGAAGTTAAAAGTCTCTCTCTTTTAAACATCACATTCAGCAATTGCTGAAAAAACTGAAGGTCAAATGGGGTTTTATTGTAGAAATAAGTCATGTTTTTCGATTGAGGCCAAAAGGACACTTGTTGCTGCCACTTTTATGTCAGACAATAGCAATGGTACATAAATGCATGCATTCATTCAAAGCCTGAAAGTGTTGGACACTGTTTACCATGGAGCACTAAGGTTCATTACAAACTTTAGATCCCTTACTCATCTTTGCTCCTTGTATGCTCGGGTTGGTTGGTCTGCATTGTCCACAGGTAGACATAATCATTGACACACTTTTATTTATATTTATATGGCTATTCTTGGTCTGCTTACATCCTACTTACAAATCTACATCCAAGAGAAAAGTACGGGAAAATCCTGTCTTCTTTCTGAGAACTGTGAAAAGAGGCGTTTAAGTTTGCTGCTTCTTTGCTTGGAGTCAGCTACTAAATATCCTGAATCTTTGGCAGCCGGTTACACTGGTTGCTTTTAAAGTACTTTTAAATTACTCGGAGGCTGGTCATTTTGGCTATAGATGTTATGATTGATTACTGGTTTGATCCTTGTTGTTGATTACTTGTTCTGAATATTTAAGAAATCTTTTTAAATATTTTATGACCTGATTGTATAACATGTTTCATGTTTTTGTTATACGTTCTTATGTCTGTAACTTTGTTAATTGTGCTGCTTCCTGTGTTGGCCAGGACACTCTTGAAAAAGAGATTTTTAATCTCAATTCATTTTTTTCTGGTTAAATAAAGGTATAATAACAAAAACTGTTTCACGGGCTGAGTACTTTCCCTATTGAGTAGTAAACTAATATTTACTTGTTTACTCGGTTGAATGCCCCTTTAATTTGCCTTTTGATAACCCACATGATATAGCATGTGTAAAGCTGTAGTCCATATGTAGGTGGAGGAGGTACGATAATTATAGCACAAGATCTGCAAGGGAGAGAGTTGTGCTTGTTACTCACAGCACAACATGACTTGTGGCTGAAGTGCATTAAAGACTACTTAGGTCGTGGTCAGTGGACAAACTTCCTGTATGATTATTTTTAGCAAAAATAGTTTCTACTGTTGATCACAGTGAAATGTCCGGATACAATCTCTTAGTTATTTACATTTTTTCAATTTAAGGGTGTTTCTTCTTTGAAAGCCCTGAAAACCTTTTTCCCCAAGTCAATGAGGTCCGACACAGAGAAATGTTTTTGTGTTTTTTTATGTGAGAGTTTTCTTTTGTGTTTTTGAAGATGATTTGAAGTGGTCGGGACTGTGTCATAGGTGTCTGTGCACCAATCAGGATTTTACAACATTGGAATCAAAATGTTACGACAGCTGGTGGGACAGTTTCTTGTATCGCGCCTTTCTAGATTTCTGACCACTCACTACGTCACAGTCACCCATTCACACACTGAGGAAGTTGCCAACTGCTCATCAGAACAGAAATGAACATGGCACTGCCATCGGGAGCAATTTCTTGATTCAGTATTTTTGCCCAAGGACACTTTGACATGCAGACTGGAGGGATCATCCGATTAGCGGGGAAATCCACGTTACCTCCTGAGCCACAGCAGTCTATATATTTGCTTATATTGCCACTGTCAATAAAATCTGATTAGATTACACCCACATAGTTCTGAAGAAGCTTAATTAATAAATTAATAACTAAGTATGTTTTCTTTATGTTTAAGTTTGATTGTTGCTCATCATTCATAATGAATATATTTATATTTTTGATCTGAAACTTATTCAGGGGCTTTAAAGCCTCTGTTTCTGTTCCTGTTGCAGCAGTACTGTCTTACCTGAGATACCAGCACTCCTTCAGACCATAGTTAAGCCCACACACCCCGATCTGAGACGACAGGCAGCGTGGAAGCCTCCTCTCCAGCATCAAAGTTGTGGCTACCACCTGTACAACATTATTGCAGTTGTAACCATGACACAGTAATGGGGGACACCTCATGATATAATCATGAGGTGTTTTGTGCTGTTATGTTTGTGTCTTCGGATGTATTCCAAGTCCCTATTTGTGTTACCTGAGTCCACCACAGCTCTTTTCTCTCCTCGGCCACCCTTTCCTGTGTGTCACTCATCATGGCTGACAGTAGTTCTAGCAGAAAGAGGCAGCAGACCACAGACAAGGTGGAGTGGAGCACATGGACGATCGGAGGGGTAGTGAAGGAGTGGTCCACAGGCATATCTATGAGGCCCATGCTGAGCTCATACAGGGAAAAGAGGGTGATGGGGAAGGACCGATATTGGGGAAGGGATGTAGGATCTTGGGTCATATACACGACCCACAGAGCTGAGAAGAAACAATTTTAAAAAGTATGTGAGGTAATAGAAAACTGTGAATCATCTTATTTTAAGAATTTCTTATCTTACAAGCTGTGTGAGGGTTAAAGATTTGATTGTACATGTTGCTCAGAAAATACTTACCGGTGGAAAAACCAGTGAGCATAATGAAACTCAGCCACATGAACTTTGTCAAGTCTTCAAATATAATCTAGGGGGAAATGAGACTCTAGGTAGGTCAGTCTGCCAACACAAATAGGTGAACCTCAAAAACTAAAAGAATGGAATACATATGTTTCAAAACATTTATATACATTAACAAACTTCTGAGCTCCTAGAGCATACATCACTGTTTGTATAACATGCAGCAATGAATCCAGGCTGAGCGAGTCCTACCTTCTGTATCAAGATGACATGAGGGCCGAGTGTTTCAAAACCTCGGGCGAAGTACATGACGTTGCACCAGCCAAGAACTAAAGACACTGCCATTACCTCTCTCTCTCCATGCACTTCGCAGATTCTGAACACCAACAGCAGCAACACCAAGCATGCATAGGTGATACTGGTCAAAACAACAGCAGAAAGGTTAAAAGGTATTTCAGATCAGTATGCTTTACATTACTGCTTAGAAGTATTTCTACTTACAGAATAACATGGAAGGGTCCTCCCAGTGCTGTCTGACCAAAATAGCGCTTTGCTCCCACTCTCAGTATATCAGGGATCTGTTGGGAAAGATTGTACAGGAGGATGTGGAAGTGCAATAGACTGTATTACCATACAGTGTTTAAGATGTTGTTTCATAAATTCACCTCCAGCAACAGGATGAGAAAAGCTCCGATGACGCTGATGATCTCGCCCACCAGCCGCAGGTTGTCATCATACGTCACATAACTCTCCTGAGGCGCAGAGAGAGAAAAAAATTGATATGTGAAAATATAGATTATTGAACTGTAAGTCATATTCAAGTGCACAGTTTGATATAAACACATATACATATGAACAGATTAGGTACAACTATTAGCTAAAACCCCTGCTTTAGTTTTATGGTATTTGTTTGTTTAGAGTTTGGTTTTACATCTTTATAATTTTTTATTTAAATTGCACATTGGTTCTCTGTCCCCAAAATAATAAAGTAAAATGCCTCTTAAGGTCCAGTGATGGATGAACTTTTGTCTCCTCCTTCTGACAGTGAGAGTAAATTACACAAAATTATTCACATGTGCTTCTGATGTATAGGCTCTGCTTTACTGAGTTGCTGCTGTCGTTACGGTTGCTATCCCCCTTCAATTCAGGCAAATATTGCTGGTTTGCATAAAACACATCACTGCCAGCATGGAACATCTCCAGACACCTGAGTTATCAACTCTGTTATACTGCTAAGACAGAGAGCTTTATCTGGTGGTGATAGGCTTAATCTGCATTGTGTGAATTTGTTTGACAAGGGCTTGAATGTAACCGACAATCATTTTATGCTCCGGTGTTAGAGGATGCTGGTGTTGTTTGTTTGCCGCTTCTCCACCTCAATAAAGTCAAAATCAAATACCTTTAATGTTGCTCAATCACATACACAACAGCAGCAGTTGATGAAAGTCCCGGGTGCAGTTCCAGCAACATAGCCGTATGAGCTGTTGCTGTACCAGGCAGTGATACAGCCAGTCAGGGTGCTCTTCCTAGTGCTGGTATAGAACAGCGTGAGGATGTGATGGTTCATTTCAAGCTTCCAAAGCCTTTTCAAGAGCTGCCTTAAGCTGGTGAGCCTTCTTTACAACGGCCTCAGTGTGGACGGACCATGTAAGGAGCTCAGTGTTCCTAGTGAACACCTAGGAACTTGAAACTGCTGACTCTCTCTAATTAGGGCATTGGAGAGATGTGTTGCCAGGGAATACAGGAACGGGCTGAGAACACAGTGTTGAGGGTCACTGATGTTGCTGCCCATTCTAACCACCTGCTTGAGAAGAAGTCAAGATTCCAGCTGCATTGCAATCTGTTTAAGCCCAGAGCCCAGAGCTTCACATATAGCTTGGAGGGCACTATGGGATTGAACACTGAGCTGTAGTCTACAAACAGGTATGCAAACTGCAGTGTGTCTAGTGAGGCATGCAGCACAGAGCAGATGTATTCTCTAACTAGCGTTTGCTGCTGATGGACGTCAGAGACAGTCATTAAGTAAGTGATTCTGGATTTCTTCGGTAGACACAATGATGTTGATATTTTAAAGCACGTTGGGCCAAAGACAAGGAGAAGGAGAGGTTGAAAATGTCCGTAACAACACCAGCCTATTGGTTTGCAAGTGTTGTGTGGACCCACGAGGACATCAGGATGGGCATGGTGGCGGTCCCCTCCTCTTTATCCTGTACATCCTCTTGGAAAAATTCTCCGCCGCCATGGCCTCCATTTTCACTACTATGCTGATGACACTCAACTTTACCTCTCTTCTAAAACCATCAGCTCTAATGTCACCCTCTCCACCAGGTCCACAACCTTGGAATCATCCTTGACCCCACCCTCTTGATCGTTACCACGTCAACCAGGTCACAGAAACTGCCTTCTTCCACCTCAAGCACATTGCCCGCCTCTGGCCCTCCCTGTCCTTTGCCACTGCAGAAATACTCTTCCATGCCCTCATTACCTTCAGACTCGATCCTTCAACTGCATCCTCTAAACATCAATACGTTTAGAACTCACCTCCACTCATCACCAAGATTACATCACCCCTGTCCGTCACAACCTCTGGCTCCCGGTTAAATACAGGATTCACTTAAATTACTATTCAACACCTACAAAGCCGTACATGAACTGGCCCCTCCCTACCTCTCTGCCTTTTTTACTTAGGTAAACATATGAAAGTATTATTTAAGTGTATTAAAGGTAAAATGTATTTGTTGTACTTGTCATGTATAGGACAAACAAACACAGCCTTATTGTTACTGCAATGGTACTATGTCGTTTAGATATACATATATATATATGTGAATCTGTAAAGTAACCAGAGCTGTGGAACTATCGTAGTGGAGTAAAAAGTATAGCATAAAAGTGACCAAGTATAGTACAATTGGACTAGTAAATATTTTAATATTCCACCCCTATTTATGGCCCTGCATTACAACATTTAATAGTTTTATCTGGTGACAGTGAAATATCAAATTCATGCCCTGTATTTATAACTCAAACACACTTTGAATGTTTTCTGAACTCGGGTGGTTTTGTCCATATCTGATGTTGTGTAGTTCTCTGGAGCGTCCTTTAGAGGGCGAAATACACAACACAGTGTGAAGGTGCCGATGTACAGCAGATACAGTACCAGCAGCAGCCTGACACAAGAGAAAAAACAATGTTAAATAAGATGTGTGTACAGTTCAGATATTTTACCTCAGACACTGATGTCATTTTTACCTGAAGTAATGTTTTCCATACAGGTTCCACTTCAGACTAACCAGCTGCTTCACGGGCGTCACCAGCAATATTTCTCTTGACTGGAGAAAGAATTTCTTCTCAGCATCACATCATTGTCATTATTTCTAACCAAATAGTCTGTGAGTTAACCAAAATACAGTATACTATATAATATTCTTGTGTTGTACCTCTCTCTTGTGACTGCCCACTATGAGCTCCAGTACTGACTTGTTGTCGGCCCATGAGTCGATCTCTGTCAAATCATACAGGTTAGAAGTCAAAGGGCCCAGAGTCCACTGTACTACACGCCTTTTATTAACCAGGTGCTCAAAGACCTGAGATAAACAGAGGAAATCACAATGGTGAGTATAGGATTAGGAAAATAATCTGCTCCATCTTTCATGTTGGGTTTTCACCCTGTGAAACCATTCACTCACCTCAATGTTTCCCTCTTTGGCAGCCAGTTTAAAAGGTGTAAGGCCTCTGTAGTTGGGCACCATGTCGAGTGACACTGACTGGTCCAGCTCTGCATCGCGTGCCATAATCAAGTCTATGGTCTGGCACGCAGTCACCTTGTTGGGCTGCAGAACCAAAATGTGAAGCACTGTGTTACCTAGACAGAAAACAAGGGAATACAAGGAGAGAAAAAAGAATGCATAGACAAGAGATGATAGGGGCAAGAAGGGAAAACAGAAGGCTATTAATAATCAAAATATCAGACTGATGCACGGATATAAAATAATTATGTACTACTTTCCAAGAGGAAGTATTTCATACCACGGTAATCCTGGACCCTGGTGCTGGCCCCTGCATCAATTACCATGGAGATAATGCTCTCATTCCCAGTACATGCAGCAAAAGACAGGATGTGCTCACCTGCAATTTGAAAAATTACATGTTTTGTGTCATTTAGCATAAAAACAGACATTATATTTTTTGGGCAAATGCTTTGGTCCAACACAACATTTTTTTTCATACACATTCATTAGAATCAATTTGGGGTTCTCGGCTATAGCCATCCCTTACAACTTACTGTAAGCTTGGTGACTTACCATAGTATATGAGTCCTCCTAACCTCTTCCTGAAGTACAGACCGGTGACTCGAGGTGTAGCCACATCACCCCCTCGACTAATCAGATGATGAACCAGATCGATGTTCTGATTCACTACAGCAATGTGGAGAGGAGTTACACCTGAGAGAGAGAAGAGAGAGCAGTGTACACCAATCCACTGTAAATTAACTTTTTAATTTTACCAGTTTATTTCAACAGTTTCCCCCATTAATCTGATGAGCAAAATGAGTATTTGTATCTATGTGTAACCAGTTGTAGAAATATTGAAATCATTTACTTAAAAAAGTAGCAATACTACACAACACTACAGTAACTGTCAGATAAGTATAAAGTAGCCCAAAATGAAAATACTTAAATGCTTCAAGTAATAATACTGTAGTTGTCCTTTACTTTGGAATTATTTTAAATAAATGATTAAATAAATGAATAATAATCTATCACAAAAATAAATAAAAAAGATGACAAATTAATGTTATGAAAGAGTCTTTCCAGTTTGACAGTTTGAGTATCTTTATTTACTTTTTAATTTCACAGAAAAACCCAGTGAAATTTGGGTAACTGTTAATTTGCATTAATGTATGTGAAAGAAATTGTTTACAATTAAGTCAATTTTATATTTATCATGTTCAAAGTCATTGTCATTTGTTGGTTATGATGCTGTTATATCTCCATATTTGCTGTCACTGAAAACCTCACTGAAAATAAGTTCAATTACTGTCCAGTAATATGTTATCACATTTGACACCTTCAGAAGTGTAATAAACTTAACATGTAGACTATGTAATCCATCTTAACTCTTAAATGTAACTATTCACTATTTTTCCCAGACATGTCCTCTTTTTCTTCCACCCAAAATGTCCAGGATTTGACTTTTGTTTTCTACTCGTTCTGCATGAGTGGTTATGATTATTGACAAGTTAGCACTTAACATTAACAAATTGGAGACTAACCACAGTGTAGAGCATTTTTCTTGCACAAGCATTTCATGAAGAGACAACATCCCACAATGAAACAGCTGTATCTGGAATTAAAATTATACTTGTAGTAAGCAATATGTGATACTATTATCCAAAATTATAATGATGAATACACTGACATTAGCCCTATTCAAACCTTGACAAGATAGAAAATGGTCTTATTGTGGAATCTCAGCTAATAAGCTGTTGAAATGTTACAAAATGGCCTACAATCTGTTAGCAGACATAAGCCAAATGAAGTGTAACCTATAAATATATTAGTATTACACTAACATTAAACTTTTCATTTATTGTTATTATATTGCACTAATACACACATTTATACTAGTTACTCCTCCAGGTGGATTGTGCTTTTGCAGTAGACAGATTTAGATTTAGCCAGATATGCAAATATTTGCTCCTTTTGCTGCCTCTCTTCTGGAGAGCAACACGTTCCCCTTGTAATGTTTTACTAAAATTATTGTTGTAATATAAAATGTATGTTTGTGTGTGTGTGTGTGTGTTTGTGAAGCTGAATGCATGATCTGCAAAGCTGGTACGTACGTGTCCGTGTCAAATAAAGGTGCTAGCAATCTAGAAGTCCACATGTAGCAAAACTCAAGGAACTGAATGAATTAAACTAATTAATTTTTCTTCTTCTTTTTCTTCACATCAATCATGTGATTTCAGTCTGTGTCTTAAAGTCTTCTATTTCTTAGTTGCTGACTGTGAAGCTGATAACTTTACCTGTGATCCTGTGCTTGTGTAATAAAATTGAAATTGCATGATGTGTGTTTGTGCTTGTTTCTTTGTGTGTGAGTTCATGTGTGACCTTGGAAAAGCTTGGTGATCATGGGCTCATTGATGAGTTCAGGAGCTCCGTCCATCAGAGCAACAGCAGCCTCCAGGTTATCGTACATCACAGCAACATGAAGAGCTGTCTCACCAAGAGCACCTGAGTGAGAGGATTACAATTTCACAGATTCCAACTGACACTTCACTACCCTGAAATAACAAGACACTGAAGTTTAAGTTCACAGTTCAGCCTTACCTCTCTCTAATATATCAGTGGACACACAACTCAGAAGTTTCTTGATGCAACCAACACTGTTCTCTTTAGCCGCATAGAAGAGAGGAATGTCATTTATGCTGAGGGAAGAAGGATAGAAGAAAGTGATATATTTATCGGTTACAGGTTAGGCTCTACACCTGCAAATAATTAATTTAAACACAATCTAATTTATTGTAGAAAGAAGTGGACAATGGCATCTTCTGTGAGTCTCTTACTATTTGGTGTAGGGCAGAAAATTCTCATCCAATATCTCATTCCATCCTTCGTTGTTTTGAAGGCAAACCCTCAGTTGACTCCACCAACGGTTGAGCTTGCTCGGAGCAGATTTGGCCTGACACGAAGTCATTGACACCTGATGTTCGACTGGAAGAAAGAAACGAAAGGTGAGATCCACATTAAAGAATGCACAGAAAGCGTAGCAGTGAATTAAAAAAAAACATTAAGTCAATTACGCCATCATTTAGGCCTCCAACTTGGATTAGTTTGGTAACCATTGTGTTCAGTTGTATTGTTTTCACAATAAAAATACTATAAAACACATTAACAAAAAAGAAGAAAGTGTCTCAGTCTTACCCTTAAACAGTAAAGGGGAGAAGTGAAATCCCTGTGGCATGACCATTATATATGGCCCAGCTATGAAGGAGGAGACATGTGGAGGGATTGGGAATGAATGGGTGGTGAGGGAGGATGAGTGAATACAGGACAGATAAGAAAGAGAGAGTGAGGCGAGCATTTAGACTTTCACTGCAGGTCAAGGATTCCAACGGGAAGGTTGTGCTTTAAGGTTCAATTCACTGTTGGACAAGGAACACATTTGTCACACTGATCTGAAATGATTATGTCACCTTAAAAGTGAAGTGAAAATGATCTAGTCCCTAATCCCTGTATATCTCTTTGCTATCACCAGGTCTATCTGCATTTCACTAACTAACCCTAAAACCTGCATGGCCACTATGAAAATTCTGCAACACCATTACAGTCATTACATGGGGTCATTATTTCTAGTGAACCATTAAGTAAAGCTGTTGAAAATTGCAAGCATGTAAGTCTGAGCCCGTTTTTTTAAATGTTAAGGTTAGATTAAAGATTGTCCAAATAGCATTATTTCTATTGTTGTATTACCGGGCAAATTTCTCCAGGTGAAACTGGGATTATTTGGTGGAATAAATGTGGTCATGATGTATGATTTTGCAACATGTTGGAAATATTGTACACACATGATTTAACATGTTCAGCACCACTGATGTGTCAACAGGATGGACACAAATGCGGCCACATTTCAAATGATCGTATGGAGGTTGGTAACATCATGTCACTTTACTTTGAAGGCGGATAACAAAGCTAATGGTAAATGATATGAGAACAAAAAAGCTTAATGATCATGATTAAAACAAAAGCATCACATCAACCAAGTAGACCACTATTGTATTAAGAGGCACGTGTAATAAAATTGAAATTGCATGATGTGTGTTTGTGCTTGTTTCTTTGTGTGTGACTCCATGTATGACCTTGGAAGAGCTCGGTGATCATGGGCTCGTTGATGAGTTCAGGAGCTCTGTCCATCAGAGCCAAAGCAGCCTCCAGTTTATCCCTGAAGTGTAATAGGACTATTTCAGCATGTTCTCTATGCACATCAACAATATGACATTTTTTTATATATAATTCTACACACGCTATGTGTTTGTATAAGATATGTGTTACCAAAACTAATTACTATAATGTGTTTTAAAGGCACACCTGGACACAAACAAGTTAATTTAACAAAACAAAAAAACAGTTGAAATATTTTCAACAAACGTAGTGGAGCAGAAAATTGAAATACATAAAGTACTTCAACATTGTACTTAAGTAGTACAATACTATATTCCTTTAACCACTGGATATTTTCTGTGTTTGGAAACATGATGATCTAGACTATAATTTAAAATAAAGTTCTGAGGGTTTGAACAATGTTTGGCCACATGCCTGTGTAAAAATGACCCAGCAGTTTGACTTTGGGACAATGTGAAGACCAGTTACTACACTGCAGTCTGATACAGTAAAATACAACACAGAGCCTGGATGTCAGGCTGGCAGAATCATGTGGGGGTGTGCGTGTAAGCTGTCAGTCCAGTTGGCTGTGATATCAGCAACAGCAGGACATGAGGGAAGCCAGTGAAACCAGTGCTCTAGTGACCGTGACTGCTGCTGATCCCAGCAGATCCCAAACTTAGATTTTACTAAAACCTGCTGATCTGTGGATCCTGAACATTATGAAGGTTAGTACATCAAGGTGAATATTATGTTTTTATTTTTTTTACTGCATAATCCTGTTTATTAAAATTGCAATATGTTTTTCGCTGTATGAGTCATCCAACAAAAAGAAATTTGCAAATTATTCAAATTTATTTATTAGGATAAACCCCTTGAGATGCACCATTTTGTTTTTGAGGGGGTCCTAATATGCATCACAACCGTAACAACAGAACAGTGACAAAATAAAGAAATGTAATTATACATTTGTCAATGTACAGACAGACAACAGATAAGCACACACAGACCCGAGCACACAGAGCAACAACAACAAAACAAACAAACAAACAAACTTAAAAAACAAAAAATACAAAACTGAATACTTAAATAATAATTACAGTAAAGAACTTCACAACCACTAGATGGTCAAAATGGCCAATACTAAATATATAATTGTATGTGAGTGGATCACCAGATAATAATAAAATTCATTTTAGTATACACAATTTGACAGCATCATTCATTACATGAGCACTCCATTGCAAGGTAAGAATACAGGGTGTGCTTAAAAATCCCAAAGATGCTATGGATCTAATATCAGCAGGTAAGTTATTCCAATCTGCTGGGGCATTAAACACATCCTCCAACTCTAAGTCGTCTTTCATTAATTGTTGAATAAATATGAATACTATACTGACTATGGTCCAATGAAAGATATATAAAATTTTTAACACTTTTTGCAAGTGTTAACTAAGTGGCATTAACTTGTACACAAATGTAAAAATGTACTGTAATCTGAGAGAAGCATGTCTTTACTGAAATATCTCAACAATCATTGGATGGAACTTTTGCACAGCATTCATGGTTCCCAGAGAACGAAGCCTACTGACTTTGGTGATCCTCTGACTTTTCCTGTAGTGCCACCATGAGGTTTTTAGTAATGAGTGAAATGTCTCACAAATTTGGTGAAGACATTCATGTTCTCCAGAAGATGCACTGTAGGCTACCTGCAAAACTAATGACATTGCCATTAACACGCTAATACACTAAAATAACACGATGAACACGGCAAAGATAAAAATCTACTGTACATCAGCATGTTAGCATTGGCATTGTGAGCATGTTAGCGTGTCAACATTAGCAGACTCACAGAGCTGCTAGCATGAATGTATAGTCTTGTCTACCTGTTCGGTTATGCAATTAATGTATACATGAGGGCTGAGCTTTGTCTCTACAGGATCACTTTAATTCAGTGTGAAGTAATCAGCACTAACTTGTACACCTTGGCTACATTACATCTTGTGATCCGGATTTTCTCTTTGCAAGTCACATTTTCATATTTACTACTTTTTCTTTAAGTGAAGTGGGAGGTACAGTACTTTAGGGTTATACGGTAGATGTCACTTTATAAAATAAGACACAAATGCAATATTTTAAATAAAACCATATCATTTATTTTACAAATTTGCACAATTATGGATTAGTGGTGAACACTCATACAAGTAAACACAGCTAATAATGTGTGTAGCCTGACACACTGTCTCAAACACACACACACGCACACACACACGCATACACACAGCGTCATGTACAGAAGCTACCTGATGTACACATTAACACAGCCTCATATACAGCACACACACGTTACAGACACACGGGTAAATACTTACAAAGCATTTCGCCTCCTTCCTTCAAGTGTAAATCAGATCAGATTTTGTCCATCTTTCCCATTTCACACATTCACAATGCTTCAATGACTCAGTGCCTTTACTCTTGCAATCAAACAAAAGAGGTGAAGTGTGAAATGTACATAAAGGTGGGTGCTGTTCGGTTCTGTCTTCATCACAGATGGATGTTTGTGTTTGCAGCTGAGGTGAAGATTGTAGTATTACAGTACATGAGCTCCGTTGTCGCTGAGAGAGTAAGAGTGAGCTGTACAAACAGGGCTGCTCTCAAACCCTAGATATGTCTTTCAAAGAAGAAGAAACATGGCTTACAGTTTTTAAAAGTATCTTTATGTTTTCACAATATCATGGCAGTGATTCATATCCAACCCCAGCAGTTGCAATACTGATTTTGGACTTGTGGTTTATAGCATTTTGTTGAAACACTGGACGGACTATACATTTTTCTGAAAGCTAATGGTAACATCTTAAAAGGTGAACCATAGGCTGCTAGGTAGTACACTGTTGTCTTTTTGTGTTAACAGTTTTTAGCATTTTGGCATTTTAAGTAGAGAGGAAGTGATATAACTTTACAAACAACTCAAAAAATATTACAAAAAGGCTTTGATTGTCTTCACGCAATTCTTTGTGTGGAGAGATCTCCATGAGTGTGTAATCAAAAACATTTTTATAGTTTCTGTACTCACTGAAATTGAAAAGCAGTGGAAGAGAAGGTGAGAGGTAGGATTACAGATTGGTGAGGAAGGAAGGCGGCCGACAACAATAAAGTGAAATCTAGTGAAAAATATTGAGGAAAACATTGAGGAATCTCTTCTCCTCTAACTCCCTAACCTCAATTTGACATGGACCACAGCTCCCATAGTGCATCTGTCCTCTGTTTTTTGTCTTGATTGACTGGCAGGAAGTCCGATCCTCTTTTTCACTCCTGGTTGTAACGTCGGTTTTATCAGAATAAACAGTGGCACTCGATGCTTTTCCTCAGACGAAAGCTTTTTCTCTTTTTGTTTTGGCTTAATAATGTGCTCCATTGAAATGAATGGTACCGAAACCAGACACATTCCGCTGCTTCCACAGAAATCCGTGGTACAGGTTCTGCTGTAGATGGATTTCACACCTCAATCTGCCCCTGCGTCAGATGGGCCCTGAGCTGTTGGGCTGCACTGACGATCTTCCTCTGGTGTCCCAGCAGGTTCACCCCGAGATTCTGGACGTCACTGAAGGAGAGAGCAGGTGAACAGAGGAGTTTAGTTCAACACTTCAGCTTGTTGTGTGCCCTAACTGATATTTTGAAGGACAGTACTAGTGGGGTTGCATATGTTAAATAAATAAAAATGTGTTAAATAAAGGCATCTGGTCGCTCAGACATTTTATTAATTATTATACTTTCCCTGATTTGTCTGTTTAATACTCTGGCTTATCTTAATTAAGTTTTTTTTTTCTTTTTTCATCTTGAAACATTTGTGGGTGCAAGCTTTGAAAAGTGCCGTATACATAGAGTTGTATTTACTTATCAACGTACTTTGATAAGTAAAAGTAAGACACCGTTTATTAAAAAAAATAACCAGCTCTTAATCTAGACAAATATCAAGGTGGCCATCCAAATCCAAAGCCAAAGACCATCTTGCTAACAATAGGTAATCCATCATAGACACCATGTAGTCTGTTTGGATTTATGTCAATGTTGTCTTGGCATGGAAATACATTTGCACACTATGACAAGAAACTCGTTCTTGGTTGTACCTCCCAGGAAACTTTAACATCCAAGATTTAATCACTGCCAAAACTGTTTTCATAAGGTATGTACAACATATCTGAAAAAAAAAACAGCCTGAAGGGTAAATAAATATAAAAGTTTTGATATGCTTTGGAAAAATGTTTGGCAGAGAATCACCAGTCTTCTTCTTTTACAGTAATAATTATCTGTACTCACTCCATGGTGAGGATGCTGACTCTGTCTAATGTGTCCAGATGCGCCTGATCGAACTCGTCCTGATACCTCTCCATCCGCAGCGCCTTCAGCCAATCACTCACTGTTGCCACTGAAGATAAGTCTGTGGGGGTGGGGCTGAGCAGCGGCTGAGAGCAGCTTCTGTAAAGGGGGAAATGTCAAAAAAGAGAGCATGAGAACCCGTAAATATAGCAGATTGTTCATCACCTGCTGCCTCTGATATGTTTTGGACAAGCGGTTGCCAGACGCTGCGACCTCACCGAGTTGGCTCTGCCTTGAGGGAGGCAGGGTGCCTGATGAGCCGATCCAAGGAGGACAGGAGCGAGTCGAAGGCTGGCCGGTCCCCTCGATCAGCCTGCCAGCATTGAAGCATCAAAGAGTGGAGGGCTGGGGGGCAGTTGTGGGGGGCAGGGAGACGATATTGGTCTGTTACTGCCTTCATCACCTGCAGCAAGAGCAAGGGAGACATACGTAGGGCAGATGGTGTGATGAGTCTTGTGTAATTGCCTTACATAAAAGGTCACAGACCACTGAGGGCTTGTAAGAGTGACTAAGAGAAAATTATGCAAAATCCAGTTGCCTGACATTTTGTCACCATTTACATGTTAAATAAAGAGGAGGGGGTCTACAATTTTTAATCAGTGGAATTTTTCTTTAGTTGTCCCTCCCTTTAAGACATTACACTTTACATTTCCTGTTCATAAATGGTCTGTGGCTGTTTTGCAAAATAAGGTTTTACTTGTAAAACCTTGAGTGTCATGTTTTTGGGTCTCAGTGTTGTTTTTTTCCTCTTTTATTTTGAAAGCAACCTTCCTCATGTGTCTTGTGCCCTTCATCTGTGTTTCCCAATTTTTTTAGATTACCTGTTGCCTGATTTCCTGGACTACCTTTTTATTTAGATTATAGCCTGCTCCCCTGTGGATTCATTTGTGTTTGCCCTTCACCTGTTTTTCACCCTTGCTTGCCTCCACTCTCCGTAAGCTTGTTCACCTTTTTGTTTTATTATTAATAAACACTTTAAAAGTTAACCTGCTCTGCCTGTTGTTCTGTGCTTGGGTCCAAATCCCTAGTGTTACTGTGTCTGCACTTGGCTCAACATGACAATGAGCTCATAACACATAATTCACAATGTAAAATAGCCACTACACCTCCAACAGGGTAAAACAAATAACAGCAGTAAATCACCAGAGCTGCTGTAACATTACAATATATATTCATACAATGCAACAATAAACAACAAAAATTTATTTTGCACTAATAAATACTTGCATTGAATGCAGGACTTTTACTTTTTTCTTTATTCAACAGCTGAAAAAAACGAGTAGAGAGACAGATAAAGAACAACATGAAAAGGTCTCTGGATGCAAAGAGTGGACATTATGGCATATTATTGCAGTATAGTAGTTAAACTTGAACTTAAGCAAAGGATTTGAGTGCATTTCCATCACTTATTGATTATGACTTCCTGTGCATTCTTCTACATACTCACTTCTTGATTGCTCATGTCCCAGTATGGACGCTCTCCATATGACATAACTTCCCACATAAGTATGCCGAAGCTCCAAACATCACTAGCTGAGCTGAACTTGCGATGCTGGAAGGCCTCTGGTGCCGTCCACCTCACAGGAATCTTACTGCCCTGTTGGAGGAAGGCAGGCAGAGAATAAGTGAACGCTGAACATGTTACACTGGAGCATTGAAAATCCACAAAAGCTCAATTTTCCCAATACATACCAGTGAGGCAGTGTACGTAGGTATGTTGTGGTCCAGGCCCCTCATGAGTCGAGACAGACCAAAGTCAGACACTTTACAGACCAGGTTGGAGTTGACCAACACATTCCTAGCCGCCAGGTCGCGGTGGACAAAGTTTCTCTCAGAGAGGTAACGCATTCCTGCACCAATTCCCCTAAGCATCCCAACAAGCTGGAGGATGCTGAACTGGCCCTCGTTCTCCTAAAAGAGTTCAGAGGGCAGGACGGAGAACAGGAGAGGAGAGGAGGAAATGTTTTGGTGTACAGTGAAGTGAACCATGTGTGCAGCCACTTAGAACATGCCAAAGATGGAAACGGTTGACAGTGTGTTATCTCACCCTGAGGAAGGCGTCTAAGGGCCCGTTCTCCATGAACTCCGTGATGATCCTCTCTGGGGGACTACGAGTGATAACACCCTCTAACTTCAGTACGTTGGGGTGGTCGAACTGTCCCAGGACCCCTGCTTCACTGAGAAACATACCCTTCTCTCTGTCGGACGCCCCCCATCGTAGAGTCTTCACTGCTACCAGCACCTCCCTTCGCCCCAGAGGACGGTAGCGGCCCCGAGAAACCTCCCCAAACTGGGCTGGAGTGGAGAGGAGGTGAAACAGATTTCACACTATTGATAGTTATCATATAACTGTAATAAGATTGAAAAGAAAACAGACTACAAGACCTACCTGCACCAATCACCTCCTCAATCTTGAGATGAGTAGGATCTATCTCACGGGCAAACTCTTTGACAGCCTCACTGGGGTCCTCATAAGTGGATGGGTCCACATAATACTTAACTCCACCTGGAATTAAAAGCCAATTTTTAGAACTAAGTCTGGCTTTTTATCTCTTTTTCATCCCTAGGAGTTTGTTCTAGGCAATCAATCATTACCTGAAATACATTCTTTTAATCTATAAAACACTCGTAGGTTAAAATATTATACAGATAACACAAAAGAAACAAACACACCAAACTTTGTTAATCACAGAGCTAATAACAATTTATGCACTATGCCTCCAAGTCATTTAAAATGTTGTTATAATAGGTTGCCCTTTTGCACAAACCAAATATCTTACTTTAAAAGAAATAAAAATAATTAATTTCAGTAAATTGAATTTCAACTCAATTAAATTAAACATATTAATACTCACCTCGGTTACTGATGTACCTCTGGAGTCTGTCACTGTACGGACTCTCCCTCCTCTTACTGCCATGTAAAAAGCAAACAAAATGTGTGAATGTGCGCATGACTTTGCGTGTCTGATCATGTGAATAGATCGATAACGTACAGTACCTGCGAAATACCACCACAACCACAATTGCTGCCACAACCAGAAGAAATGCTGCTCCACCCATCACTGACCCAACCAGCAGAGGAAGTCGATTCTGGATCTGCTGTGAATGTTCCTCTGTGGAAGAGAAAGTCAGAAAACCATCAGCTGAGACTAATTACAAACGTTGATGTTACTGGAACTGAATGGACATCACATGTTTTTATGAGTACACTCCAGCCATTTAATTTTCACATCTGGAAAACCTGGATTGAATATTGGGCTCATCTACAGAATAGCAGAATAATCAAAGTTAGTTGTTTATAGCGAGGCAGTCAACATCACTCTGCTTCTCCTGCAGTGACCATTTGAAAACAAACACTGTAGATTAATAGAACTACTTTTGAATCTCATTCAACACAGTGATCTCACTTCTACCTGGGTAAAATTTAAGTCAACTTCTACTTCAGCAGTATACAGTATATTAGTACATACTGTATCTCTCTTCCACATTCCTTAGATAATTACTTTCAGCTGCGAATAAATTCGTATTACTAGTAACTATTTGACTGTTCTATTGTTTATCTGTCATCTTACTCTCATGAATGATCTTTTTCTGTAGATTATTAAGGCCTCCTACCCTAAATATTGTAACTTTGGCCACTTCAGTGGTGTGGTAATTGCAGTAATGCACTTTGACTCAAATGGATTTCACTGGTATTACAGTAAATGAGTGTTGTACCCAGAGGCAGGGTGGTGAAGTAGATGGTGTTGCTGTAGGGGCCGTAGCCTCGCTCATTTCGAGCTCTGATCTGGAAGGCGTAGATGGAGCCAGGAATCAGAGAGTTGACGGTCACCGTGTTGGTCTCACTGTACACACTCACTGCACTGTCCACATCTGAACCCTGATGGACGCAGAAGAAGGGCGTTTTGTGGTAACTTTAGTCATTTGTCAGTTTGGGATGTGTGTGTGTGTGTGTGTGTTTGAGACTATTCACTGTTTACTGCCATGTAAAAAACAAACAAAATGTGTGAATGTGCGCATGACTATTCACCGAGTATACCTTGTCATAGTATCTAAGCTGGTATTCCAGGATGTCTCCATTGGGCCTGTCCGGCTGAGGCCATGAGAGAGTGATGGAGTCTGGGGCTCGGCTCAGCTGGTGCATCATGGGAACTGTACTGGGAACTGTGGAAACAGTAACGAAAGAAGTATTCAGAACCCCACTTAAGTAAAATAACTAACAACACACCATGAAAATACTCACAGGTAAAAGTCAGAGTAACATTGGATAGACTAGCAAGAGACAGCTAGATTTTGAAAGTATCCAATCCAAAAAAAAATCCCTCCCCCTCCTTTTTTTGGTTTTACTGCTAAAACATTATTGAATGATGTCTGATTGGATTTGACTTAAAGGGCTAAGCCGTAGTTGATTAAATCGGCTGGATCAGAAGAGTTTGACCATGACAACGGACAGACATGCAGATGCTGCGGCCAGTAGCTCCTTTAAACTCTGTAAACTCTCTTTAAACTTTAATGCTGAAACACAGGACAGAGATAAATCAGGAAAAGGAAGCCGAGGTTCCTTTCCCCCTGCAAATTTAAAAAAACGCACGGGAGAACTACTTCCTGGGTGTATGTATATTGTTTATTTTATTTATTTTGTTACCCTATTCTAATATAGATTCAATTATCTGTTATGTTCTATGTGAATAGCATGAAGGACTACAATCTTTCATTTCATTGTGCAACCTTGAGTATTTTGAATTTGTAATTTAGTACAGTATTTGAGTAAATGTACTATGAATATTATGTTTCACCACTGGAGACAACAGATGTATGATGTTTCCCCTGAGAAGTGATAATTGATCAATTAACCTTGCTCTGAAAGCCCCATTATTCCACAACAATAAAACAGTAAAGCTGTTTGAAGATATGGAGACCATAAGGGGGCAGTGTTACAGAACCTGCAGTCGATATTTAGTAGAGCATGAAAGTGGAGTTTTTATGGAGCACCAAGCAGGATCTAGTTACAGTCATTGTGCTATATGGCCAGACCAGTTAAAGGGAACTTTCCGGCATTCCTTTCATTTAATCAATAAGCTCTGGGAGCAGACACAAGAAGGTTTTAGATAATTTAGGTTCATGGAGAGTTCTAATCAATCTTGATCAGTTTCTTGGAAAATTGTATAATGGTGTACTTTGTCCGCACAATGCCCCATTCTCCGCTCCTCTCGTCTCCCCTCTTGTCTACTTTCATCTCTCTTTCAGCCTGTTTTTTTTTGTCTTCCCATCTCTCATTTGTCCCTTTCTTCCTCTACAGTGACTATAATGGGACCTGACAGGATATTGTAACCTCGAGCAACCTCCTGTCCAGAGAGCAAGAGCAGAAAAGATGGAGCACAAAGAGACAGAGAAGGGGGTGATAAACCTCAGACACACATACACACAGTATCTACACAAACATCATCATCAGAGCATCTCTTCTCTTTCATCTCAGTGTTTTCACCCTCTCTGTCCGGTGCTCACCTGACTGGCTAGTAGTGAAATTGATGCTTGAGTATCGAGCTGGAAAAGGACTCAAAGCTGAGACCTCATTCATGGCTTGCACCTGTCAATAAGAAGAACACATAGGTGTGACATTTGAAGCTTTTTTCTATTTAACGTTTATGACATGTTTCCATGTTTGAGGAACGAATCCTGACACATGCAGGTGTGTCGGCCAGTCAACAAACACCAGGAAATGGGAAATATCTGCCCACTATGAATAAGAAATAAGCTATGATTTAGTTGAGCTACCTCAAGCTAAATAATAAATGTTACTGTATATTTACTGATGTGGAGCTTACAGAATAATACAGGCTCCAGGAAATGTTTCATCATTCACAGAAATTTCTTAAGAATAACTTCTAACTGGTACCAGTGATTTGAGTCCACACATTCACCAGTAACCCAGAATAGCAAGTATTACAGTTTAAAACAGTTATAACTCTAAAACAAAGTGTCAAAGACAATTATACTGTATTTGGTATTTACATTACATATATTAGATAACGGAGATTGTATTGTGCCATTAACAGAAAGTTTTCCACAGTACCTGTATGAGATAAGTGACTCTGGTCAGCAGGTTGTTGAGGGTGACCTTGGTTTGTTTCAGGTTTGTCTGGGAGGGGCTGAAGGTGACACCCTCCCCACACCAGGAGCATGACGTTGGGTTGGTGAAGGTGGCTGAGGGGCAAATGCGACACACCACCCCGTACCACACTTCGTTGCGGCCTCCCATGTCCACTGGAGGGCGCCACCTTAAGGACACTCCGCCATCACCGCTCTCATACTCCCAGGAAAGAGAGACCGGAGCAGATGGAGGAGCTGTGGAGAGATAGACAGAATGGGTGGGGTTTGGCATACATAATGTAAGTGGTAGACACTTAGATGGAAGCATCTGCTAAAAAGTTTAAGATATGAAAGAAGCTGCATGCTGGCAAAAACATTTAACTGAGTAAAGTAATGGAAAGAACTATATAAAGCAAAGTTTGGCAGTGGCACAATTTTAGCAAAGTGAGCAGAGAAACTAAATACGTAGCAGCTTTTCCTACTGGTGGAATTAAATTCCCATTAAATTGTGATAAAAAAAAGATGATGATCATGTCACTGACTTCTCGGTTCTCACAGTCTGAGTAAATGACAAATGACCAACGAGGCCCCTTGAATGCCTCTCAGAGAGCCAGGCATAAACAAACAAATCAACTATGCTCACTTGTGCAGGCAGAAGAGTTGGCATCATTGGCTGCCCGGTAAAAGCCGCTGCGACATTCACACACACTTGATCCCTCCTGGCTGGTTCTGCTATTGGAGGGACACACCGAGCAGGGAACAGAGACGGAGATGGACTTAAAGTAGCCCACTGGACAAGCTGCAGAGACACACGAAGAGACGCAAGGAGGGTTGAGCTTCATTCTCAATTTACAATCAAATAAATTAAGTGATTGGTGCTCCCTCTAAGTCAGTGGAGTCCAGTACTGTGCCACAAAGGATCCTTCAATACTATATAACAGTGTCTCTCTCTGCTGGTTTTACCTACTGATTACTGTAACATATTTTCAGCCAGACAAAAAGAACCAGACTGACAGAAACACTTTGTGGCAAAGCGGAAGCAAAAGAGGAGGAAGAAAGAGGATTTGGCATTTACCATAAAGCTATGGTATTTCTTTAATCCAGAAACAACAGGCTCAGACAATAAATTCGAACAATGAGTTTTATAAAAAGTGTCATAAAAGTCAAATTTAAACTAAAACTGCCAGTACTTCTATTTGCAGCTGAAAAAAATTTATAAAAGTATTAGTCTCAGTATCAGAGCGCAATTCAGTTTTGACCTTGGATACGGCAATTGAAAAACAATTAACCCAAGGTCCACTTACTCCGAAACCATATTGACATATGGTCTTCATTAGCAGATGAAGTTTGCTCATTTGTCATAGAAGACATCTTGGTCAAAAGTTTGAGAACGAGTGAGTAAGTGGACCTTGAGACAAGATTGTTTTGCCATCTATTATGTTTGGTTTATGATCATAGATTCACTAGTAAGGGAATGTGTAAATAAATGGTGTGTAATGAAGAAAAGATACAGTATAATTGAAGAAGAAGTACATTAGAGATATCAATAAAAATGCACAGTAATTAAATTAACAAAATATTTTGCATATTGTTTCAATATAAAGCACAATTCTAGATAAAATAACTATTTTGAGCTCTAAGTAACCAAATAAACCATACTAATCTTAGCTGACTGAACGACAGAGGTCCATGTATGAACCTGCAGTACTGGAAAAGTACAGTATTTTGGCAGTATTTCGTGAAATACACAGTTTGTGTACTTCTAATTTGTCCTGTTTTATTGTTTTGGTCTGTTCTGGCCGGGGCAAAGTCAACCACCAGAAACTATTTTGGGGTAAGCAATTTTTTGGTTTGTGGTTTCCTCTGAGTCAAAAGTTCATCTAAAACATAGCGGTCTGATGTTTGTTGTTGGTTTTGTCCAGCATAGTCATTTAATTTTACAGAGGAAGTGGCTCACATTAGCAGAGAGCAGCAAAACCTGCAGACACACACAAATAAGTTCAAAATGGCCACACTGACCCCATCACTGTCTAAAGCAATAGTTTGTCATTTTGGGAAATAGACTTTTGGCTTTCTCGCTGAGATGAACACCAACCTAGCCACTATGTTTCATTTTCACACTTTGGTTTTTGTACAGATTAAGCAAACAAGTCATAACCAGTTAATTAGTGAGGTTTAGAGGTGCTGATAGGTGAAAGCTGTTTCCCCCTGGTTCCAGTCTTCATGCAAAGCTAAGCTAATCGGCTGCTGGCTGTAGCTTAAAGAGGTGGTATTGTGCTCATTGTCAGGTTCAAAATCTTAAATACGGGTTGTACCAGAACAGGTTTACATGGTTTAATTTTCAAAAAACACCATATTTTTCTCATACGGCACATTGCTGCAGCTCCTCTTTTCACCCTGTGTGTTGTACGCTCCGCTCTTGAACTACATAGTGATGCATCTTGTACATAATCTTTGTTGGGAGTTGCACATGCGCAGTTCCCAAGTCAGGAACACTAGCCAATCAGAAGCAGAGAAGGGCGGGTCGTAAGAAACAAGGTAGTGTGATCCAAATCAAAGCCCCTATAGACTGCGACTGTAACCTAGCAGATGGTATAAGTTACTCACAAGTCCACAATCACACAACATCATTGTTCCACATCTTACCATAAACCACTACAAAAATCACCATACTTCAACTCAATTTTACATAAAAATTGGCAAAACAACAAGAACGTTTGCTCAGTACCTTTCACATCGGGTGTAACGTTTGCATTGCTATAACTTTAGCTGTGTTAGCCAACGTTTACAACAACTCTTCAACAGTCTGTGAAGTTACAGCCGTGTTTATTTTAAATATAAATCACAACCAATAAAGCATACTTACAGGTTGTTAATTTCCAGGCCCAAACGGAGTCGGAGTTGCATCGTCTTAAACGTTCAGCTGTTGCCGGTGTTCTGACGATCTATGCTGTCGATAGACTCGACTCTACTCGGCCCTGCTCCGTTTTCCATTGCAGATAGTACCCAGAGATAGTACGTAGCTTGTCGTCATAGCGACGCCACACACAACTGCCGCAACGTAATGTTCAATGCGACACACACCAGCGATCCACACAGCTTTCTCTTTTTTAAGTTAAAACGTTTCTCATTCCTCAGAATGTAAAGACAGATAAGCGGTATGAAAACCTTCCAGCTGTGTTTTCCTCTGCCGTTGTTGCTGCAGTGGTCTGTGTGACGGCGGGAGTAAAGGGCTCTGTGAGTGGGCGGCTGGCCGGCCTCACGCTCCTCCCACGGGTTGGCGCAGGCTTCCCCCGCAGCCACTTGCGGAGCTCCTCAACTCAAAATACAGCACATTTTTGTTTCGCCATCACTTCTGGTAAAACTGTCAATATTTGAAATCTACACAGCTGATTCTCTCTGACCAATCAGAAGTCTGTCGTGTTTTCACGTTACATTTTAGTATCCCTCAGCTCGCTTGGAACCTCGAAGGAGGTGAGATGATATGAAAAAAGTACCTGGAAGCAGGTACAGGTGCAACATTTCTACAATGGAAAACCAAACAAAGGCGAGTCGAGCCAAGTCGAGCTGGTACTGTGCAGTGGAAAAGGGGCTTAACTAAAATCAAAGGGCCTCCGCTCAGACTAGCTTGGTTTGAGGGCGTGCCTGACCCCGTTTGCCTCTTGGCAAGCTTCATGACGCGTTTTCATTGTGATGTCACAGTGAAGGAAGGGAAGGACTGGACTACAAACGACCTGTTTTCAAGCAGTTCAGAGCAGAGCTTTCTGTGGGAGATGGGAACTCCCTTTGGGCTGGACTTTGGGCTTTTTCACTTTGCAAACCTGTTATATGTACAAAAAAGATGTATAACTCAATAAAGTAGAGAGGAAAAGCCAAAAAGCATAATACCACCTCTTTAATATTTACAGTACAGACATAAGAGTTGAATCTAAGGTAACAGTAGCATTGGCTTTGGCCTTACATATAATGGACAGACATGATATATTTTCTTAGCTAACTTTCCACCAGAATGAGAATGAGCATATATATAAAAATTAACAACTAACAAACACACACACACACACACACACACACACACATTCAAAATAACATTGTAGGTAGCAGGCTGTTAACCACACTTTATGTTTTTTATGGTGGAAAATCTGTTAAATGTGCCAATTGTTAATGTAAACAGCAGGACAGCTGAGCACTGAGCAAATGGCAACCGAGGGAGTTGCAGCAGTGGCGATGGCACAACACATAAAAGTAAAAGTTAGTCAATTTTTAATCATTTTAAATAAAATTGTAAGCCAAGTGAGAAAACAAAGATATTTTGGTGGGTGATATTTTGGCCATGCCTTCTCTGTATTTTGATTTTGCTTTCTCTGTGTTTTGGGTTTCAATCCTGTCTATCTGTGGTCTTGTATCCAGTCTCCTGTTTGTTCGGTGTGGTGGTTCTGATCTGTCCTGTTATCTTGGTGTCTGCCTTAGTACTTGTTTAGTTCTGTTCTGTCCCTCATGCCTCGTTCTCTACCATCATGCTTGGGTTCTGTTTGTCTGTTTGCCAGTTTTATTAATTAATCTGATTTTGTTCATTTTGCTTTAGTCTCTGTGTAGCCTTTATTATTTCATTTATCTTTAAGTTACTTCATATCTGTCTTGTCTAGTATCTTAGTTCTTAGTCCTGTGTCTTAGTTCATGTCTTAAGTGTTTACTCCTGGTCTGTGTACTTCTGTGTTTTGCCCATGTCTGCTCGGAGTTCTGTTAAAGTCTTAGCTTCAGTCTGTGTTCCTTGTTGATGTTAGTCTAGTTGTGATCTGGATTAGTTTGTTATTTTCATTATTCTGATCTGTTACTGCTTACTTTGACATGTTTGATGTTCAGTACTTGTGTTATGTCTGTTCACCTCCAGTAATCTGCCTGTCAGCCAGTCTCTCTGTTTTCTCCTTCTGTCTCTCTGCCTCGTTAACCCTGATACCTGTCACCTGTGTTGCTCCCGCCCTGCTCGTTAGCCCCTGTGTATAAATGTTTGGTGTTTCTGTTAATTCCCTATCCGGTCATTGTCGCATGTCTGTGCAGTCAGTTGTTGTATGTTCTGCAAGTTGCTACTTACCCGTTCTGTTTTTGGATGTACCAGGTCCCTGTACCCGTTTTTGTTCATGCCTGTCTGTCTAGCCCTGGATTAAATACTCTGGAACTAGACCTCTGCTCTCTGTTTCATGCATTTGGGCTCTCCCCTGCTCTGCGCACCCAGCGAACGTGACACATTTGATGTCAAATGTTGGTGATAATGATCCACCCAGTTACAATTTGCCATTAAAAGAAGAGGAAGAAGTGTTCAAATGTTGCAATCATCATTTCTGGTAAGTGCACAACGGCTGTGTTTGATTTGAGACAACACTACCCTGTTGAAACGCATGTATTACGCGAGTAAGTAGATGATATAATGGAAATACCTGAATTGAGACACAGCTTACAAGAACGTTGGTCTGCTTCCATTTTCACACTGTGTGTATGTGTGAACGCCTAAAGGTTGTCAACTAAAGGGTGGGTGTGTGTGTGTGTGTGTGTGAGAGAGAGAGAGAGAATGTGTAAATGGCACACCTGATAACAACTGAAAAGAAGGATCCTCTCATAGGTGTTTGAACAGAGTAATAAGGCTTTTACAGTTGGACGATGAGAGAGGAGTTTGTTTTACGGTCAGTGGGCGTGACCCTCACACCCTGTTTATATAACCTTGTCAAAAACTATGATGTGCCATGTCTGAAATTTGACATGCCATGTATGCATGTGTGTATAGTAGTTGGCAGTGTGCAGTAG